CTTCCTAAGGCCCACTTGACTTCACATTCCAGGATGTCTGGCTCTAGGTTAGTGATCACACCATTGTGATTATCTGGGTCGTGAAGATCATTTTTGTACAGCTCCTCTGTGTATTCTTGCCACCTCTTCTTAATAACTTCTGCTTCTGTTAGGTCCATACCATTTCTGTCCATTATTGAACCCACCTTTGCATGAAATGTTCCCTTGTATCTCTAATTTTCTTGAAGAGATCTCTAGTCTTTCCTATTCTATTGTTTTCCTCTATTTCTTTGCGTTGATTGCTGAAGAAGGTTTTCTTATCTCTCCTGGCTGTTCTTTGGAACTCTGCATTCAAATGGGAATATCTTTCCTTTTCTCCTTTGCTTTTCACTTCTCTTCTTTTCACAGCTATTTGTAAGGCCTCCTCAACCATTTTGCCTCTTTGCATTTCTTCATGAACCTCCATCCATAGTTCATCAGGCACTCTGTCTATCAGATCTAATCCGTTGAATCTACTTCTCAGTTCCACTGTATAATCATAAGGGATTTGATTTAGGTCATACCTGAATGGTCTAGTGGTTTTCCCTAGTTTCTTCAGTTTAAGTCTGAATTTGGCAATTAGGCATTCATGATCTGAGCCACAGTCAGCTCCCAGTCTTGTTTTTGCTGACTGTATAGAGCTTCTCCATCTTTGGCTGCAAAGAATATAACCAATCTGATTTCGGTGTTGACCATCTGGTGATGTCCGTGTGTAGAGTCCTCTCTTGTGCTGTTGGAAGAGGGTGTTTGCTATGAACAGTGTGTTCTCTTGGCAAAACTCTTATTAGCCTTTGCCCTGCCTCATTCAGTACTCCAAGGCCAAATTTGCCTGTTACTCCAGGTGTTTCTTGACTTCCTACTTTTGCATTCCAGTCCCCTATAACAAAAAGGAGATCTTTCGGGGCATTAATTCTAAAAGATCTTGTAGGTCTTCATAGAATTGTTCAACTTCAGCTTCTTCAGCGTTACTGTTTGGGACATAGGCTTGGATTACCATGATATTGAATGGTTTGCCTTGGAAACAGACAGAGATCATTTTGTCATTTTTGAGACTGCATCCAAGTACTGCATTCGGACTCTTTTGTTGACCATGATGGCCTCTCCATTTCTTCTAAGGGATTCCTGCCCACAGTAGTAGATATAATGGTCATCTGAGTTAAATTCACCCATTCCAGTCCATTTAAGTTCACTGATTCCTAGAATGTCGACATTCACTCTTGCCATCTCCTGTTTGATCACTTCCAATTTGCCTTGATTCATGGACCCAACATTCCAGGTTCCTATGCACTATTGCTCTTTACAGCATCAGACCTTGCTTCTATCACCAGTCCCATCCACAACTGGGTATTGTTTTTGCTTTGGCTCCATCCCTTCATTCTTTTTGGAGTTACTTCTCCACTGATCTCCAATAGCATATTGGGCACCTACCTACCTGGGGAGTTCCTCTTTCAGTATCCTATCATTTTGCCTTCTCATACTGTTCATGGGGTTCTCAAGGCAAGAATACTGAAGTGGTTTTCCATTCCCTTCTCCAGTGGACCACATTCTGTCAGACCTCTCCACCATGACCCTTCCGTCTTGGGTGGCCCCACACGGCATCGCTTAGTTTCACTGAGCTAGACAAGCCTGTGGTCCATGTGATCAAATTGGCTAGTTTTCTGTGATTATGGTTTCACCACTTAGGAAGTGGCAAAAAGTCCAAACTGAATATAATCAACCCTCTAGATCTAATTACTAGTTTACAGGAAATACAGGGACTACAGCTACACATTCAGTGACATAATAGAGATGAAACAGTGGCATCCAGAATGTAGAATATTCTACAGGACACATATGACCCAGTTTCTCCAATAAATAAATGTCTGAAAAAGAGAGATAGGAAGTGGGAATTTACACATTAAAAGCAACTTAAGAGACTTATATGACCAAATACAATGTGGAAACTGGATTCTGATTTGAATGATCCAGATGTAAAACAGACAAAAATTAACAAATTAAGGGGAAGTCAGGGGGAGGTATACACTGAAATTATCACTATAATTTTGTAAGCATGCTGATAGCAGTGTACCTAAAGATGTTGCTTAGCTTTTCAATTGGGTAGTAGTCACTTGAGCATATGCACTTGTCACAATTCACAGACCTGTACAGAAAAAAGATGTATTTTACTGTACATAAACCTTAATAAAACTATGCATTGCAAAGAGAAGGAGATGGCCACAGGAGACAACTGACAGGAAAGAACACCCTGAAAAACAAAATCTGGGGTTTCGAGGGACAACGGACAAGGGTGTTTCAACTTCAATGAGCAGTAACCAAGAGTTATAACATGAACTAATCATAACTCAAACTTTCTATTGGAGCAGGGTATCCTGACAATTCCTGCAAAACAGAATTTGATCATTGTTAATGGGGTTATTATAACTGCCAAAATTTCCATTATCCTCTTTTTTGAATAAAAATTTAAGTTCCTGTATTCTGGCCATACTCCACCCTGGTATATCAGCTGTGTGAGTAGCATGAGGAGAAATGGGCTGATATGTCTCTGGGCCATGAGGAGTGGCATTCAGGTGTGAAACACACAGTACCCAGAAACGCTGAACTATTTTGAAGAGTGGGTAGGTGTGCTTCCTTTGTGGAGGAAGTGTATATAAGGTACTAGGGGGGCTAAATGGGTAGGACTGTGATTAAGGTTGTTCAGTTCAGTCACTCAGTTGTGTCCAACTCCTTGTGACCCCATGGACTGCAGCACGCCAGGCTTCCCTGTCCATCACCAACTCCCAGAGTTAACTCATGTCCATTGAGTCAGTGATGCCATCCAAAGATCTCATCCTTTGTCATCCCCTTTCCTCCCTCCCTCAACCTTTCTTGGCATCAGCGTCTTTCCAAATGAGTCAGTTCATCGCATCAGGTGGTCAGAGTATTGGAGTTTCAGCTTCAACATCAGTCCTTCCAATGAATATTCAGGACTGATATCCTTTAATGGACTGGTTGGATCTCCTTGTAGTCCAAGGGACTCTCAAGAGTCTTCTCCAACACCACAGTTCAAAAGCATCAGTTCTTTGGTGCTCAGCTTCCTTTATAGTCCAACTCTCACATCCAGACATGACTCCTGGGAAAACAATAGCTTTGACTAGACGGACCTTTGTTGGCAAAGTAATGTCTCTGCTTTTTAATACGCTGTCTAGGCTGGTCATGACTTTTCTTCCAAGGAGCAAGCGTCTTTTAATTTCATACCCACAGTAACCATCTGCAGTGATTTTGGAGCCCCCCAAAATAAATAAATAAGGCTGCTAGTTTACCTAACATCCATTTTCCTTTTCTTTCACAATATTAGAATTTAGGCTAGGCATCTGGTCAAGTAGAACAAACACAACAGTTCACAGTCTGATTATAGTTTTAAAAAATTTTATACTATTTTAAAGGTTACACTCCATTTACAGCTATAAAATACTGGCTCTATTTCTTGTGTTGTACAATACATCCCTGTAGTCTACCTCACATCCAGTAAGTATTGTACCACCTAACTGAAGTATTTTAAGTGATGCTTGAGATTGCTGAAAAGAAAGCCAATGAGAAAAAAAAATCAATGCTCATTTGAGCTCTAATATGTGTTTTGTACATCCACATGATTCTGAAATTTTTTTTTCTAATTGAGAAATAATATTCATTATACTTTAAAGAAACAGCCCCAAATGTTGAGTTGACCAAAAAGTTTTTTTTTTTTTCCTTTTCACCAAGAACTTTATTGAACAATGTATTTACTGTTTTGCTCTACTACCTTTTACCATTTTTCAGGCAACTTCATAATTCCATCTTCCCAATACTTTTATCTTTTTGAGCAAAGAACTGTTCCAGATGACTTTTATGTGCCAGGAATTGAATTTTTTCCTTTAAGAGAACTTTGTAAAGACCAAAACAAATGGACATCTGAAGTTGCAATGTCTGATGAAGACGGTGGATGAATCAGAACTTCTCAGCTAAACTGTAAGTATTTTTGCCTGGTTATCAAAGAAACATGCAGTCTGTGCCAGCCTGATGTAAGAGTACATACATTTTCTGTTGACTAATTCTGGATACTTTGTGCAAGTGCTGCCTTCAGGTGGCCTAATTCAGAGCAGGACTTACTGGAATTATTTGGTTTTCCAGAAGGAACTCTTAATAGAGGACTCCCTTCCAGTACCACCATATACACACACCAGTTCTTTGGACAAAGACTGGCCTTTAGTGGGGTTGGTGGTGGTTTATTTCACTTGCCCCATGATCTCTTCCATTCTATATTATTGTACAGTATCCACTTTTCACAACCCATTATAATTTGTTTTAATGGAAAGTTTTTGTTAGGGGTCAGTAGAGGATTCCATGTGGAAATGCAGCCAAGAAGGCTTCTCTCGCTTAACTTATGTGGAGCCCAAACATCAAAGCAGCGAACATAACCAAGCTGGTGCAAATGATTTTCAATGCTTGATTTGGATATTTTGAGTATGTCAGTTATCACCTGCATGATATAACACTGATTGCTCTCAGTTAATGTCTAGATTGGATTGCTATTAACATCAACTGGTCTATCAGATCATGGAGCATTGTCCAGTGAGAAATCGCCAGCACACAAATTCGCAAACCACTTTTGACACATATGATCAGTCACAGTACCGTCTCCATACACTGCAGAAATCTTTTTTTTTTTATTTCAATAGAGTTTTAACCTTTCTTGAAATAATAAAGCATAATATGCCAACAATGTTTCCTTCCATCTTCAATATTAAAATGGCTACACAAAAATCCACTAATTTTGATGTTTTTTTAAAAAATGCCTGCTGATACAACAGCTGTCACAATATTATTACAATCTAATGAAACTGTTTCAAATGAAGTTAAGACAACTAAGCACTACTACAGCCATCATACAGAAAAAAACCAAACCAACTTTTGGCCATCCCAATACTTTAAATCACTGGCATGTTTTTGAAAGCAGCAGCCTTTTCTTAATATTGCATGAATTCAATCTCATGATCTTGAAGTGACAATTCTTGTTTATTGTTCTCTTCATTGTGGCTCTCATTTTTCTCTTCTTTTAATGATATGTACAACTTCTCATCTTTCTGTTTAATATCACGAAGAATAGATTCCATAGAATAGCCATATTCAATAAGGGCATAAGCCTTTTTTCCACGGCTATAAAAATGTCCAAAGGAGTGCATAGCAACCAACCTGCCAGACGCGTCAAACACTGGGGAGCCAGAGGCCCCAGTAGAAAAATAAGTATCATAACTAAGTGTGTCAGTGCTCCAGACCTCTGACAGGAAACTTTTCTGGGTAAACATAGGGAGAGCATTATAAATGTCTGAATGGGATCCTGGTACTACCCCATCTGGATAATGTTCTTTGTACCTCTCTAACCGTTGCTCTAGAGAAATCACATAACAACCATCTATTTTCTTGATCTGGCCTTCTGGGTGACCAATTAAATAAAGTAAACCATTGGATGGTTGAGGCAAAATCTGTTTTGATAGGCCTGGAGGAAATCCATTTCCATTTTCACTTAGTTTTAAAATGGCATAATCTAGACTTTCATCAGACACCACAAACCATGGCTTGATGGAAAACCAATCATCATCCTTAGGGCAGAACTCTTTAAAAGCAAAAGTGACCTTTGCACATGTGCTTATTATATCTCGCCATGACTTTGGATCTGTACCTTCTCCCACGATGAGATGAAAAACATGTCTACAGGTAAAAATAATATTATTGTTGAAAACAAAGCAAGTACCACTGCCTTTGTTTCCATTATTGTCCCATTTCAAGAGCCCAACTGACTTACTAAGATGAATCAGACGTTCACAGATTGCAACTGAAGTAGAATTTTCAGTCACTTTTCCAAAGTGCTCTTTATACATGCTGAATTGTTTAGACACTGACAGTTGTAATCTCTTCTGTTCTTCCTGAAAATACTTTCTTATCTGAAGTGCCTCTTTATTAAAATTTGGATACTGATGCATCATAACTTTGTTCAATATTTGTAAATTATTTACCCAGAGATCAGTTGTCTCCCTTTGGATTTCCTGAATAGCATACTGCCTATCTGGAGAGAGCCTTCGCCTAACTGGTGGGATTTTTCTCCTATAACGTTTATATTTACTACCGTAATGTTTAACTTTGGAAAAGGACCAGTATGTCTTACGTTTAGTATCAAGCCTTAGACTCTGAGATGGTAGAATTTTTTCTCTGTTGTGTTCTACATCTTCAGTTTCTCCATCTTTCTCTGGTTCAAGGACTTTGGTCTTAGACTGTGTTAAAGCCTGTGGACTGATATCTTCAGTGGCATTTTCATCTTCTGGTTTAATTTTTTTATGGGTACGTTTCTTGATAGACAGTTTTTTAAGAATGTCCAATTCTAAGATTTTTCCAGATACTTCATCCACCATGGACTTTTTTCCATAAATTTTCTTGTTATCTTCTATTACTCTCCATTCAAATGTGTCTAGGTCTGAGCGAAATCGGCCATCATTGCAAAGGGCTTCTTTGATAGTCTCACCCTTCAAGGCATAGACATAAAGTGTAGTTCCTTGTTCATGAAGTTCCTTAATCTTAAGAATATTCTTTATGGTCTTCCCAATAGCAAAAACGTGAAAAAGAATGCATTCAACATCTGGATTTTTACATGGGCGTAATAACTGATCATCTTCCTGGTTACTCCTTTTTTGACCAAATGTTATTTTCAAATGGGAACCACTAGGTAGGCATCTGAGAGGCATTCCTAAATTTATATATGCGTCTATTATTTTTTCTTCATAAGCAATGATGTTCTTATTTACATGTTTCTCCAACCTTTCACTGAAATGGTCATGAGCACTCAGAACTGAATAGATATTCTCATTGGGTCCACCAACTGCTGTAAATACACTACGGTCTGACTTCCTGGAGTGTTCTTTCAAACTAAAGGTGAAATGACATTTCTCAATGGTGCTCATGTGTGGGTTCTGTCGTTCAGAGGATGTTTCATGCTTGCTGACTTCACTTTTAACTTTAATGGTGCTGTTACATTCTCGTGTATCAGACAGAGACTGATCAACAGGCGTGCCAGAACATGCCTCCTCCATGACAGTACCCTTAGAAAAGGAAAGATTGAAAATTTAGTAAGGATCACCTTTAATAATAATGTTCCATGTCTTTTGAATTATAAAATCAAAATATACCATGCTGCATATGAGTCTGTCAGTGCTTTTGCATATCATTTAACAACTTTTGAAAACACAATTTGAGGGGCTATATGATAGTTCACCACTCAATAGTTCTTAATCCATTCTTCTGTTGCTGGATATTTAGATTATTTCTAATTTTTTTACTACTCTAAATATGACAAACTTTTCAATACACAAAACATTTTGCCTAAAGTCTGAAAATATTTTCCTATGCTAGATTCCCAGCAGTGGAAATAGATTCTAAATGTAATTCACCATGTACAGTGCCATATATGCAAAACAGAAAAAGAGACACAGATGTACAGAACAGACTTTTGGACTCTGTGGGAGAAGACGAGGGTGGGATGTTTGGAGAGAACAGCATCAAAACATGTATATTATCTAGGGTGAAACAGATCACCAGCCCAGGTTGGATGCATGAGACAAGTGCTCAGGCCTGGTGCACTGGGAAGACCCAGAGGGATCAGGTAGAGAGGGAGGCGGGAGGGGGGATTGGGATGGGGAACACATGTAAATCCATGGCTGATTCATGTCAATGTATGACAAAAACCACTACAATATTGTAAAGTAATTAGCCTCAAACTAATAAAAATAAATTAAAAATAAATAAATAAATAAAAATAATACTGCAGTGTGTTGCCATGCTCTCCGCCAGGGGGTCTTCCCAACCCAGGGACTGAACCCGGTCTCCTGCACTGCAGGCGGATTCTTCACTGTCTGAACCAGCAGGGATGCCCCGCTTTATATACAGTAGTGTGCATGTGCCACTCCAAATCTCCCAGTTTATCCCTCCCCTGAAATGGTTTCTTATTGGTGGTTTTATAAGTTTAATAACCTCTGCCTGTTCATGTCTTTTACCCATCTTTCTATTGGATTATTTTTTCTTTTTATTATTGAAAGTACTTTATACACTTTACCGTCCAAGCCACCATGGAAGTTTTTCAACTCTTAACTGTAATTTTAATTCCAGAAGTGTGTGGGCTCAGTAAGCCATGCAGAATGTGGGATCTTAGTTTCCCATCCATGATCAAATCTGCATCCCCTGCATTGGAAGGCGGTTTCTTAATCACAGGACCACCAGCTGTGCACTAAGTTGGTTCAGACATGTCTAACTCTTTGTGACACCATGGATTGTAGCCCACCAGACTCCTCTGTCCATGGAGTTCACCAGGCCAGAATACTAGAGCGGGTAGCCATTCCGTTTTCCAGGGGATCTTCCTGACCCAGGGATTGAACCCAGGTCTCCCACATTGCAGGCAGATTCTTTACTCTTGAGCCACCAGGGAAGCCCTTGAATCACCAGGGAAGTCCCTTAATTGTATTTTTACTATTTTTCTTATTTTATTGTACTGTATTGGCTAAAATCACCAGTACAGTGTGACAATGATTTTGTAATCACCAGCTAAAAGTAAGTATTCCTCCATTCTCCCTGATTGTAAACAAAGTGCTTCTAATGATTACTTAACACAATATTTCCTGTAGAATTTTTGAAGATGCCCTTAATTAACATTCTGGTATGTCCTTATTTATATTTTTAAGAATAAGAAAGCAGTCAAGATAGATTAATCCTAATATGGCCTATTCTTATTATAATTAAAACCTCTGGAAAGAATACAAAAAGCTATGCCCTGAAATCCCACTCTGGCCAAGATGGAGAAAAACAGACCTAACTTAAATTATTCCTTGAAACAACTGGATAAATGGATAAAATTATGAAATGTTTTTCAAGGCATGAGACATTAGGCAAGAAAGGACAGTGATCCTTGAGAAACAGAAAAAAAAAATGAAGCAAACCATATAAGTGCTCCAGATTATTTCCTAAAGACAGATTCTGGTTGCCAGGAGTGGGTTGGGGTGGGGGTGGTGAAGGAAATGGGCCAAGCTGGTCAAGAGTACAAACTTCTAATTGTAAGACAGAGATCTAATGTACAGCATGGTAACTACAGTTAACAAGACTGTATTGTATATTTGAAAGTTGCTAACTAAGAGAGTAGATCTTAAAAAGTCCTCGTCACAAGAACAAAATTTAACTTTGTGAGGTGATGAATGTGGTAATCATTTCATAATATACCATAATATACACATATATTCAATCATTATGTCATCTATCTTATATTCAATTAATTTTTAACAAAGATATAAAGGCAACCCTTTTAAGAAATTGTGCTGGAGCAAATAGATAACATATGTAAAAATTAATCAATCAATTAATTAACAAATACTAATGTGTGGATTTGGGGAAGGAAATGGCAACCCACTCCAGTATTCTTGCCTGGAAAATCTCATGGACAGAGAAGCCTGGCAAGATACAGTCCATGGAGTTGTCAAGAGTAGGACACGACTTAGCAACTAAACCACCACTGTATGGATTTACTCTTAATATTGTTCAGCCTAAACACTGTATTGTATCACTACTGTAATAGAACATATGGTATTACTATTGCTGTCTATACACTGCACCATAAAAATAATAAACTCAAAGTGGATCATAGACTTAAACCTAAAATTATAAGACTTCTAAATGAAAACCCAGAGGAAAATTTTTGTGATCTTAGATTTGGTAAAGTATTCTTTGGTATAAAACAAAAGCACAATTTTTAAAAATGGATAAAATGAACATCATCAATGCTGAAAACTTTTCCCCACTAAAGACAGGATTAAGAGAATGAGAAGAGAGAAATAATGAAAAGACAAGCCACAGACTGAAATAAAGTACCTGCAAATCTTTGACAAATCAAGCATCTCTAACATATATAAAGCACTCTTGAAACTCAGCAATAAGAAATGAAAGAAGCCAATATAAATATGGTCAAAATATTAGAAACTTGACCAGAGAAGATATATGCAAGGTATTGGGTGGATGGAGGACAAGGGTGAGCAAAAGGGAATTATTTCAGGTGATGGAACTGTTTTGTATCTTGATTCTAGTCACGGTTACGTGACTGTGGGCATTGTCATAAGCCATAGGACAGTACGGGCTTTCTTGGTGGCTCAAATGGTAAAGAATATGCCTGCAATGCAGGAGACCTGGGTTCGATCCCTGGGTAGGGAAAACCCCCTGGAGATGGGAATGGCTACCAACTCCAGTATTCTCGCCTGGAGAATCCCCATGGACAGAGAAGCCTGGCAGACTACAGGTCCATAGGGTTGCAAAGAGTCAGACACGACTGAAGCGACTTCACAAGCGTGCATGCATAGGACTGTACACTAAAATATTCAACTTAAAATTTAAGCTAAATCCTTCTTCGTAAATAATACAAGGATAAGAATCATAAATACTTCTTTACTTACATAATAAAATCCAAATACCTAAACACAAAGTTCAAGAAAGTGAACGATACAGCAGCTGTTCTCCAAAAAGCTACTGTACCTCTGTCCAATTTTTTTCCATTGGTCATAAAGGTGTATAGAAATAATTCATGCCAGTGCAGGAGCAGATCTTGATTCCTCAATGTGCCTGTTTAGCCAAAAGGTTTTGGGCAGGAAGGTTCAGCTTCCAAAGTGAAAAGTGAAGTCGTTCAGTCATGTCCAACTCTTTTCGACTCCATGGACTCTAGCCCGCCAGGCTCCTCCCATCCATGGAATTTTCCAGGCAAGAGTACTGGAGTGGGCTGCCAGTTCTTTAAGCCTGAGACCATCAGAGGGCAAAGAAGCTGCCCTGGGGGAACATGAGAGACTCACATCTGGATGCTGAAGAATGAACTTTGAAGTTACTGTAGCTACACTGTCACTAAGCAGAAAGCCAGCCAGAAGAGTGCAGGAAAAGCAGAGTACAGAGACTGAAAACATAAATAAGTCCTTGGAAACACTGTGTTGTTTTTCAGTCACTCAATCGTGTCCGACTCTGCGACCCCATGAACTGCAGCACGCCAGGCTTCCCTGTCCATCACCAACTCCTGGAGCTTGCTCAAACTTATGTTCATTAAGTCAGTGATGCCATCCAATCATCTCGTCCTCTGTCATCCCCTTCTCCTGCCTTCAATCAATTGTGTATTACTGAATTAAAGCTCAGTTGACCTCTGGACTTTCCAGATGTGTGAACCAATGAATCCATTTATTTTTTCCTTCAAGGGGCTCAAAATGTCTTGTTTTGAAACAAGACTATACAAGCTAAATAAATATTAGCAAACAGTGCTGATAAGAATGATAGATTTCACCACATAAAATCTTCCAGTGGAAGGGTATTTTGGAATAGTATTTCTTACATTTTAACATGCAGAAGAATCATCTGGGTATCATGTTAAAATGCAGATCACGTAGATCTAAGAAGCTATTAGGTGGCATCAAGGCTGCTGGTATACAGATCACACTTTGAGAAGTAAGGACAGAGTTCCTTAACCTAGAGTAGCAGTTTGCAACTTTCTGCAATGATGGAAATGTTCTGTATCTGCTTTGTTCAATATGGCAGCCATGAGCCACATATGGCTTCTGAGCACTTGAAGTGTGGTTAGTGCATAAAGAAAATTAATTTTAAATTTCATTTACCTTTAATCCAATGAATCATTTTTGTTATTTCAAAGTTAGATGATTTTCCCCTGACAAAATGTTTTTACTGATATAAAGCCTACTGTGATCTTGTACCAAATCGTCTTCCCAGTATTACTTGTCTCCCATATTCTTGAATTCTCCTTACATACCATCAAGTCTAGCTATACTATTCCTCAAATAGATTTGCTTGTGTACATGACTTTACACAGACTATTCCCTTATACTTGATCCACCTACCTTGTGAAATTGTGGCCATTCTTTAAGATATTTCTCACATGACATAACTTTAATTTCTTGAGTCTGAATTAAACACTCTTCTCTCTGCACTCTAAAAGCACTTGTTTATATTTTGATTTAGTATTACCATTTTGCATACTTTGAGTAAAACCGTGTGTTGGTCCAAAATTAGGTTCTGAAGTCTGATTGCCTGGGTTCGAATCCTTGCTCTGAAGTCCATTACTTTTGCAGTTTTAAGAAAATGGTCAGTTTCTTAACTGAGGATCAGTTTCTCTATTTAGGGATGATAATATCTATTGCAAAGAGTTTTATTAAATGTTAAAGGAGATAATCAATAGGAAGTGACAAGCCTAATTCCAAGTACTCAGTAATTTCTCAGTACACATTAACTACCTTATTATTTTTACCCATCTACATTTCCAATGATACTAAGTGTCTATACTGTCACCTTGCTGTTTAACAAGGTATTCTTTGCTTTGTTAATTCATATACTATCATTTTGTTTTTACACAAACACTTATATGTATGATCTCCCTAAATACATTTTAAACAATACATGAGAAGGGGTTATAATTGCCATTCTTTATACACTTATCCCCTTCAAGGATCCTAAGACAGTGCTATAGTTAGAGTGCCATTCCAGCAAAGTTGTTTAAAAGTACACACACCTGGTCACAAAGAATCAGACATGACTAAGTGATGGAACCTACTGAATGTAGCCTGATCCATCATACATTTATAGTTTATGCTTTTGTGTGCATATGCACCTTATTTACAAAATCCTTCACTACCAGAGTCATAAAGGTATTCTCTTATATTTTTTATTAAATTTTGAAGTTTGGACTTTCAAAAAAAAAAAAAAATACACACACCTTTGCTGCTTCAGGTCTGGTACTCTGGTCATTTCCTGTAGCACTGAATGACGTATCCTCTTCAGTCTTGAGGAAATTCATGATGAGTCCTAAGAGAATATGACTTTCTGCCACTACTGGCCAAGACAGAGAAACAAGGGTTGAATTTACCACCCTTTTAATGACTAAAACAATAAAACACAAGATATATGAAACCATAAGTTTCAAACACTGGCTATCAGGCAGGGTACAACAGTGATCTCTGACCCCTAAGAGAGAGAGAGAAATCAGAGGTAGGACCTAGGGACATCTAGCCTCCTGTCTGGGGAGCATCTCCAGGCTGCATCTCAGGGAAGGGAGACACAAGCAGAGCCTGGCACTTGCCCTGAGCTGAGAAGACCAGCTAAGAGTCCTGTTGGGCCCAGGAGGCTGGAGTTTGTAGGGCTAGAATACTAGAGAGCTACAGCTACACAGAGTGTCAGAGATCTGCAGTGGGTACCCCTGAAACTTCAGCTAACTAGTGGTCTGTTTCTCACACTCAGCTGAGAACAGTTTCTGTTTCCCACACTCAGCTGAGAACAGTTTCTGTTTCCCACACTCAGCTGAGAACACTTTCTGTTTCCCACACTCAGCTGACAATAATTTGTGTTTCCAAAAGTCAAACTGGCAAACTTCAAAATTCATAACATAGTAGAGGACAAAGCCTCTAAAGTGGGATAAAATTAGCTGTAGACCAAAGGCTGCTCTGGTCCCACCCGACAAAACTTAAAAGCAAGGTTTGGAAGCATAAAACTTTTCCAGTAACACAACTAGAACAAAGCTCAAGAATACTGATAGGAATAGAAATATTTCTAGCATCCATATATGTGAAATTGACAAAGTTTGATATACAGTACAATTCTGAGGCATAAAAAGCAGAAAAATAAGATCCACAATGAGGAGAGAAATCAATGAACAAAAACATATCCAGAAGTGACTCAGATGATAGAACTAGTAGACAAGAACATTAAAACGATTATTATCTTGGATATCTGGCCAAACAAAGTGACAGGGACCTGACTTGCCCTTCAGTCTGAAAGCAAAAAAAAAAGACAATAAGCTAAACAGATGGAACAGGAATTTGCAAGGAACTAGACATCATGCAATTCGGGGCAGTGACAAATGAAGGGCATCCTGTGATGACTCCAGCTGACTGCCTTAAGAGATTCCAGGCCAGGGTGCCACGAGGGGCAGCCAGGCAGGGCCTGTTGGCATTCCTGCCTTGAGGAGACAGAGCTGAGAGACCAAGGTGGCAGGAGTTCAAAGGACACAGAAGAGAGAGACCTGCACAGAGGGAAGTCCGGATATACGAACACTCCGAGGCATTCAGCTGAGAACTGATCACAACAGCAATGGAAGAACTACCTGGGGTCAGGAAAGAACCTCCGCAATCCATCAAACCTTCGCGAGGTGATACTCCTTTTAGAAATCTCAGTTTCCTCATTTGTAAATTAAGGAGCTCGGCTCAAATCAAACTTGTATTGGTCCTGAGAATTCTCCCCTCTGAATTTTTTTTTTTTTAAAGAAGAAGATACCTGAATCCCATCCTCACTACGCTTGGGATGCAGTTATGGGAATCTCCACTATTAAATCAACTTTAACCACTCCCCCCCTTCCACGCCCAAGGCACACAAACGTTAACAGGAATAGCTCCCTAGACTATCTGAAAATGTCTAAACTCGACCTTTCAACCTGGGGAGGGGGTTCCACCACAACAGAAAACTGCTTATGCCCCTCCCTCCAAAACTTTCTTGGATCTGGGCTGAGAACCTTCTAACTGGTGCCCTTGACAAACCTGTGCCTCGCCTCCCCAAGAATTCCACGTCCTCCTCAAGATCAGAGGAGCCACTCACAGAAGCGGAGAATCTGCCCCAACGGTGAGGGTGATGGCGGGACAGGGATCCGCGATGGTTGCAACGATGGCGCTCGGCGGGAACTCTTCCCTCGCGAAAGAGGAACCCAAATATCCCCAACCGTCTGGCCAATGGTAGGCCAGGTTGCGGAGGTCGTCTGCCCTCATTGGACAGCAGCTCGCCCCCTGCAGAAGCCGATTGGCCGAGGCACTGAGAGCGGCGGCCGGAAAGGGTGGGCGTGGACCCGGTGGCGCGGCGGTTCGCGCGCTGGGAGACGCGCGCCCAGCCGCCCTGCTGAGCCTGATGACGCCGCCTCCAGCCCGTCCATTGGCGCGAGACCCCGCACTCTTGCCACAGTCCGCGACCTTGTTCCGGGTCGGGCTTCGAGCCGTCCTGTCCCTTCACCCAGCCCGCGCATCCGCGTCCGCTGCTGTCAGGAGCGGGCGGAGTCGGCGGACTCACCCGTCCCCGCAGGGTTCGTTTCACGGCCAGTGCGCGGAGCGGCGGGCAAAGCGCTCGGCCTCCGGAGCCGAGAGGGCCACAGCCCGGCCCCGCGGCGCAGGGAGCTCGGCCGTCACAGCTCTTCGGCTGCTGCCTGGCGGGCGGCGACTGTGGACTGGCCTTTGGAGAGGCTCCCCACCCAGCCCATGGGACGTCGACGCCGTGAGCTTCATCAGCTTCCAGAGCAGAAATGGCCCAAAGCTGGCAGCCAACTTTCTGTCCCTAACGAAGGAGCCAGCTTAGCCTAGAGCTCGTTGCGCACGGATCCTCTGGCCAGGAGGAAGAGACCTGCTCCTGCCCTCCTGGTTCGCAGGCCGTGCATGAGGAAATGCAGAATTTTCCAGTCCCAAGGGATGGCTCCAGGGTTAGGCATTTCCAAACTGACAGCCAAAGAAGGGGCTTGAGAAAACATCGTACAGTTTAAGAAACAATAGGAGGGGTTGCCTTCAGTATTAGGTGCTATTTTGGAAAAGCTGGTCAAAGAAGGGGAGAACGCAACTGATACGTGAAGATGGTGACAACTCGTTTGAAATAGGTGTTTATGTAAAAGTCGATGATATTGGAATAGTACTGAAAGCTTTTCCTAACTTGGCTTAATGTAAAATATATACAGAGAAACTGTAATCACTGCTTACATTTCAGGTACTCAGTGGGGTTTGGAGAGAGTAAACTTTAGAAGTATAACTAAAAAGCTAGAAGAAAAGAGAAAAGCTATGAGAGTTTCATCAAATCGCTGTTATTCCTTAAATCTTCCTAGAGCATACAGGTGACTGATAGTAACATACGTAGATGGAGAACAAACTATTTGCACAAGGGACTTACAGATTCTCTTATCTTTGTAGACCCTGGAGATGTTAAAAAGTTGTAAAAAGGAAGAAGCGGTAAAAAATGGTGCTATTGAAGTTGCCTGATATTTCTAGGGACAGAGAATTTGTCCTGGAAAGGAACATACCATAAGGAGCACATGTATCTCTCATTGCCACTAAGCGCCTTGTAGGCTGGATTTTATTATGAATTGAAGATTTATTCTAACAAAGTTTGAAGCAAGGGTGTACTATAACCTGACAAAAAAAAAAAAACAAAAAACGCTGACAGCTGTGTGGACCCAAAACTCTAGGGGACAACAGTGGATGCAGATGAAAAAAACAATTAGGAGGAGGCTCTTCCAGCTTTCCATCAATGTGGGAGGCACAGCTTGCAGTGGTAGTGGTGGAGGTGTGAATACTGGTTGGATTCTACATGTATTTATTTATTTTTATTTTTATTTTTGGCTGCACTTTAAGGGGAATCTTAGTTACCTGACCAGGGATTGGATCCATGCCCCTTTCAGTGGAAGCCTAGAGTCCACTGAATAAATGGAGGAAGTCCCTGTATTTATTTTGAAGGGCAAACCGATGAGCTTTGTGTATGGATGGGAGGTGGGGGGGGGGCGGGTCAAGAAACAAGAGAAAAAGAGGGTTCAGTGATGATTTCTGGGCTTTTGACTTGAGTAAATGGAGTAAGGATAAAGTCTCTCTTAACTGGTGTGAGAAATCCAGGGAAGGAGCTACTGCCAGCGTGTGTGTCTCTGAATTCTACTTTTGACACATTGGCTTGGAGATACTCATCCACTCCAACTTAATGATGAGTGAAATGAAAGAATTTACACTCAATACGTGATAGTGAATACCCACGGAGGGTCAGGAAGGGGCATATAACTGACCATGGCAAGGAATAACAGACTAAAATGAAAGAAGGACAGAGATGTAAAGAAAGACAGAGAAGCTTCAACTTCATGATGGTAATAACGTTGGCCTTTAAGAACATTTGAGATGCAGTGAAAAGGCAAAGGATAAGAGGCTTATGGAAGCTTCCTGATGGGAGAGACAGGGGAAGTGGGTCGTGTTTTGATGGGCAGTGCCATGCTCAGTAAATCTTTTTTTAAAATTAATTAATTAATTTAATTGGAGGCTAATTACTTTACAATATTGTAGTGGTTTTGCCATACATTAACATGAATCAGCCATGGGTATATGTGTGTTCCCCATCCTGAACCCCTCACCCACCTCCCTCCCCATCCCATCCCTCAGGGTCATCCCAGTGCACCAGCCCTGAGCACCCTGTCTCATGCATTGAACCTGTACTGGAGATCTATTTCACATATGATGATCAGTAAATCTTTAATTCAATCTTCTATTGATGGATGGGGCTGTGTTCCCTCCCTGTTGTTTGACCTGAGACCAAACTATGGTGGAGGTAATGAAGAAAATGCAACCTCCTTCAAAAGGTCCCATGCACACGGTGCTACACTCAGTGCCCCCGACCTTGCTGCAGGCCACCACTGACCCACACCTCTGCCGGAGACTCCTAGACACTCACAGGCAAGTCTGGGTCGGTCCCTGTGGGATCATTACTCCTTTCTCCTGGGTCCTGGTGCATACAAGGTTTTATTTGTGCCCTTCAAAAAGAAGCAGGGCAAAGCCTAACAGAGTTTTGCCAAGAGAATGCACTAGTCATAACAAACACCCTCTTCCAAGAACACAAGAGAAGACTCTACACATGGACATCACCAGAGGGTCAATACCAAAATCAAATTGATTATATCCTTTGCAGCCAAAGATGGAGAAGCTCTATACAGTCAGCAAAAACAACACCGGGAGATGGCTGTGGCTCTGATCATAAACTCCTTATTGCCAAATTCAGACTTAAATTGAAGAAAGTAGGGAAAACAACTAGATCATTCAGGTATGACCTAAATCAAATCTCTTATGATTATACAATGGAAGTGAGAAATGGATTCAAGGGATTAGATCTGAAATACAGAGTGCCTGAAGAACTATGGATGGAAGTTTGTGACACTGTATAGGAGGCAAGGATCAAGACCATCCCCAAGAAAAAGAAATGCAAAAAGGCAAAATGGTTATCTGAGGAGGCCTTACAAATAGCTGTGAAAAGAGAAGTGACAAGCAAAGAAGAAAAAGAAAGATGTATCCATCTGAATGCAGAGTTCCAAAGAATAGCAAGGAGAGATAAGAAAGACTTCCTCAGTGATCAATGGAAATAAATAGATGAAAATAATAGAATGGAAAAGACTAGAGATCTCTTCAATAAAATAAGTGATACCAAGGGAACATTTCATGCAAAGATGGGCACCATAAAGGACAGAAGTGGTATGAACCTAACAGAAGGAGATGATATTAAGAAGAGGTGGCAAGAATACACAGAAGAACTATCCAAAAAAGATCTTCATGACCCAGATAACCATGATGGTGTGATCACCTACCTAGAGCCAGACATCTTGGGATGTGAACTCAAGTGGGCCTTAGGAAGTATCCCTATGAACAAAGCTAGTGAAGGTGATGGAATTCCAGTTAAGCTCTTTCAAATCCTAAAAGGTGATGCTGTGAACGTGCTATACTCAATATACCAGCAAATTTGGAAAACTCATCAGTGGCCACAGGATGGAAAAGGTCAGTTTTCATTCCAATCCAAAAGAAAAGCAATGCCGAAGAATGTTAAAACTACCACACAATTGCACTCATCTCACATGCTAGCAAAGTAATGCTTAAAATTCTCCAAGCCAGGCTTCAACAGTACATGAGCCATGAACTTCCAGATGTTCAAGCTGGATTTAGAAAAGGCAGAGGAACCAGAGGTCAAATTTCCAATATTTGCTGGATCATCAAAAAAGCAAGAGAGTTCCAGAAAAACATCTACTTCTGTTTTATTGACTATGCCAAAGCCTTTGACTATGTGGATCACAACAAACTATGGAGAATTCTTCAAGCGATGAGAATATCAGACCACCTTACCTGCCTCCTGAGGAATCTGTATGCAGGTCAAGAAGCAACAGTTAGAACTGGACATGGAACAACAGACTGGTACAAAATTGGAAAAGGAATAAGTCAAGGCTGTATATTGTCACACTGCTTATTTAACTTATTTGCAGAGTACATCATGAGAAATGCTGGGCTGAATGAAGCACAAGTTGGAATCAAGATTGCTGAGAGAAATATCAATAACCTCAGATATGCAGATAACACCACCCTTATGGCAGAGAGTGAGGAAGAACTAAAGAGCCTCTTGATGAAAGTGAAGGAGGAGAGTGAAAAAGTTGACTTAAAATTCAACATTCAGAAAACTAAGATCGTGGCATCCAGTCCCATCACTTCATGGCAAATAGATGGGAAAACAATGGAAACAGTGTCAGACTTTATTTTTTTGCACTCCAAATTCACTGCAGATGGTGACTGCAGCTATAGGAAGCAAATACAAGGGAGAAAAAGCAGACCCCAGGAAATGCAAGGGAAAACATTATCAATCTTGTTGACCAGACACCTCAAGACACATGACTGTTGGATTAAGTCCAGAGGGAACAGAAAAACATCTTGAAAGCAAGATGTGTGCCTGGAGGTGGAAAGCCATCATCAGACTGTTCCATGACCTGGCGTCTCTGAGTCAAATGTTTTTCACATCTGGAGCTTTGTTATTTAGACACCAACCTAAATCATTAGTACAAGTAAATCTTTCTTATTTCATCTTTATGTTACATTCCTAGCCTATCTTAACAGCCTTGTGGCTCCATATGCTTCTGAGAGCACCTTCTCCCTTGCACATACTCTCCTGCCTGAAAACATGTAATAAAGCTGAATTGATCAGTTTGGGCACCTTCACCTCAGAGCGGTGTTGGTCTCCTGATCCTTGCTTTCAATTCTTGTTTCTTTCTCATTCTTTCTCTGTATTGAGCTTTTGGGAAACCCTGGCTTGTTGAGCCGGACTCGACAAGTGGCACCTGAACAGGGATCTGAAAGCGAAACCAGCCTAGGAGGCTCAGCTCCGGAGCGGAGCGGTGGAGAACGCAGGGAAATCAGGCCGTCGCAGTGGACGATGAAAGTTCTTGGTAAGTACACCCCCGTGGATTTGTCAAGCAGAGTAACAAAGGCAAAATCCTTCTAAGCACGCAGAATATATGCAAGTCTTAAAGACTTTGTTGTAAAGGTCGGGAGTGCAAGTCTCTCAGTCTGCTTTTAACGACTTATTTTCTGCTAATGAAAAACATTGCTATTGGCTTAATCCGGCTGCTGCTGCTAAGTCACTTCAGTCTTGTCCGACTCTGTGCGACTCCATAGACGGAAGCCCACCAGGATCCCCCGTCCCTGGGATTGTCCAGGCATGAACACTGGAGGGGGTTGCCATTTCCTTCTCCAGTGCATGAAAGTGAAAAGTGAAAGTGAAGTCGCTCAGTCGTGTCTGACTCTTAGCGACCCCATGGACCAAAGCCTACCAGACTCCTCCGTCCATGGGATTTTCCAGGCAAGAGTACTGGAGTGGGGTGCCATTGCCTTCTCCTTAGCAGTGGCTAGAGGAACTTTAATGTATAAAGAATGGCAAGAAGTAATGCATTGCTTGCAAGGAGCTTATCAAAGTGGAGAACAAATACCCTTGTCAGTGCAGTCATTAGGAAATCTCATTAGCACGGTTTGGGTACACTACAATCGGAGGTTTCCGAGTCTGATGATTCCACTTCTCAAACAGAGGCAGAGTTTGAAGAAGAGTTGCATATATACGACAATAGTGACTCAGAGGAGGAGAAAAAACCTTTAAAAGCAAAAATTTAAAAAGGGAAATGTTATGAAAGTAATGAACAAATTTTGTTTGCTAGAACAGTTCGCCCCCTTGGGTGAGCCTCCTCCTTTTGATCTGGAGACTCCTTGGGATGATGGTTTTATGTTAAAGCCACAAGTAACTGTTCCCAACATGATCTCTCCTTTTCATAGGGGAGTTCGTGTGTCTCAGTTACAAGGTGATGAAGATGCATTAGCTCTTCCTGTAATAGTGACACAGGTTCCACCTCAATTGGGACCTTAATTCCCAAATGGAGGATTAAATTATTATAACCCTTTACCTTTCAAAACTATCAAAGAGATCAAACAGGCTTGTACTCAATATGGAACTAATTCTCCCTATACTATGGGATTGATTCAAGGTTTGTCACAGGCAGAAAGATTGATCCCTCATGATTGGGAGATGGTTGCTAGGACTTGTTTAACTACCTGGGAATTTTTACAATTTAGGACGTGGTGGCAAGATAAGGCTAGTCCGCACGCTCATAGGAATGCAGCTGCTAACCCCCCTTTAACATTTCTTTAGAACAATTGATGGGATCTGGTGCATATTTTGGAGTTCAGGCCCAATTACAATTTGATGAGCAAGTAGGAATGATATGCTTAAAAGCATGGGAAAAAGTCATTCCTCCAGGACAGGCTACTCCATCATTTACTCAAATTTAACAATCTAATGGAGAGCTGTATGTAGACTTCATTGCATGATTACATCAAAATTTGACCAGAACTATTTCTCAGCCAGGACTGAGAGATTCATTATTACAGATTCTTGCTTATGATAATGCCAATTCAGATTGTCAAAAGGCTATTCAGTCACTAAAAGCTCACAGTGCTGCCTTTGAAGGAATATTTAAAGGCTTGTCAAGATATTGGGTTGGAGCCATATAAAATGCAATTACTGGCTCCAGCATTATCTAAAGGGAAAAGAGGAAATGACATTCGGTGCTGTCAATGTGGAAAAACTGGACATATTAAGAGAGATTGTAAAGAAAAAAGATTTTCAAATGCTAAACAGGAAAATAAGACTCCAGGCTTATGTCCAAAATGCAAAAAAGGAAATCACTGGGCAAATCAATGCAGATCTAAATATTATAAAGATGGGACTCCTCTGTTGGGAAATGTAATGTGGGGCCCTGCTTGAGGCCCCCAAAACAATCCAGGTGCTTGGAACACTGTTCCTTTTGTGTTTACAGCCCAGACCCCCCAAAACAATCTGTCTATGACCTGCTCTCAGCGACATCAGGGAGCACAGCATTAGACATGGAAGATTCAACAGTTCTCATTTTTGTGAATGACTCAGCTTGGCTTCCTGGCCCCTATGATCAAAGTCTCCCAGATAAACCAAAACAAGAAGGATAGATATTAAACAATTACACCATTGGTCTGAAAATACCCCTATTTGCATTGGACATGGAGCTGCTGCTGCTGCTAAGTAGCTTCAGTTGGGTCAGACTCTGTGTGACCCCATAGATGGCAGCCCACCAGGCTCCTCCATTTCTGGGATTCTCCAGGCAAGAATACTGGAATGGGTTGCCATTTCCTTCTCCAATGCATGCATGTATGCTAAGTCGCTTCTGTCATGTCCGACTCTGTGTGACTCCATGGACAGCAGCCCACCAGGCTCCTCTGTCCATGGGCTCCTCTAGGCATGGAGAGATCTGTTGAAAAACAGATTATCAAAAACAGTTATCTGTTGTTAAATCTACTAAAGATGATAAGAT